GGAGCCGGAGATACCAGGCAGCATCTCTTCCCTCCAGGTTTACCGCTCCAAGATGGATGGTGAGGCCACCAGCCCCCTGCCCCGGACCCGCAGTGGCCCCCTCCCCTCTTCCTCTGGCTCCTCCTCCTCCTCCTCCCAGCTCAGTGTGGCTACCTTGGGCCGTAGCCCCTCCCCAAAGGTCTGAGGACAGTGGGTGGGCTGTGTGTGTGGCAGGGTGGTGGTGGGGGGTGGAGACTACCACACTGGGGAGAGGCTAAAACCACCCGTAAAAGCCTTGAGGGCACGGAGGAGGTGTCTTCTGAGCCTCAGGTCCATGTTCCCTTCCCCACCCCCGCAGAATGCTCTACTCACCCAGAATGGCACAAGCAGCCTCCCTCGCAACCTGGCAGCCACGCTGCAGGACATTGAGACCAAGCGCCACCTGGCCCTGCAGCAGAAGGGTGAGTGGCTGCGGTGCCAGCCCGCCGGCTCTCCTGGGGTCCCTGGATGCCTGCCTTGCGGCCTCCACCATTCCTCAAACACACCCACACCTTCCACAGGAGGTTCTTCCTTTAACTGGGATCTAGGCAAGAGCAGAAAGGGTTGAGATTGGATACCTAAAGTAGAGCTTCCTGGATTTTATCAAAAGACTGAGGGCAGGGGACTAAGGGTTAGGGCGGGCTGTCAAATCTTTCTGAGAAAGCCCAAGTATGGGGAAGGCTCATTGACCTCAGCAGGGATGGACATTGCTTTGTCTGGAGGCAGGGGGATGGCCTTGACCTCCACAAGTGCTTCCCTGAGATGTTGGCTCTGGGCACCCAGGAGTCCGTGTTGCTCGTATGCATTTTGGTTGTTTTGAAAGCCCATGTCTGTGCCTCTCTCTCCTCTCATCCCCCTTGTGTCTCTACCCTGCCCTCTGCCCGGGGCCCCCACACCAGTCGAGTCGCTTCCTGCCGAGCCCCTCCCAACCGACGACCCAGCAGGTAGAGCGTTGGTCATGGAGGGCATTGCTTTGGAAGGGCAGCCCCTGCCCAGGCATCCGCATGATGTATTCTGCCCAGGCCCCGAACGCCCGCAGGCAGACTCCCAGGCTGAGCTGGGTTGGGGTGTTGGGCTGGCCTCACCCCTTGAGCTGAGCTCTCTCCTGCCTCAGCTGTGCTCTGCCTCGTCTCCCCTTCCTCCTTTCCTGCTGCCGTTGCTCTAGCTTCCGCATCGCACTCGGGTCTGCATTGACATGGGCGCTCACGGGGCTCCCGCCATCTCCTCCTCCCTTCCCCTGCAGCAGGGTGGGTGCATGTGCTCTGCCCACCTGTTCAGGCCTTGGTTGTAAGCTGGAGCCGCCTGGCTGTCAGGCTGCTAGGTCCCCACCTGGGCAGGCTTGATGCCCCGTGTGGGCTCAGGATGCAGTAAGAGCACTGGGGCAGGACTGCGCAGCTGTGGCCAGTTGTGCAGGAAACTGAAGCATTGCCTGGGCAGCTGGACCTGGAGCTGCGGGGGCTTCAGAGAAGCTGGTGGGGGCAAGGGGGCTGCCCTGTGTTACCCTCTCCCTGCTCGCCTCCTCCCTCCGTCTGTGATGCTGCCAGTGTCCTCCCTGGGTGGCTGGGGTGCCCACTGTGACTCCCACCGGTCCCTCCTGCAGGGCAGCAGGTGATCGAGGAGCAGCGACGGCGGCTGGCTGAGCTGAAGCAGAAGGCGGCGGTTGAGGCGCAGTGCCAGTGGGACGCCCTGCACGGGGCGGCGCCCTTCCCGGCTGGCCCCTCTGGTTTCCCACCGCTCATGCACCATTCCATCCTGCATCATCTGCCGGCCTCGCGGGAGCGTGGGGAGGAGGGTGAGCATGCCTATGACACACTGAGCCTGGAGAGCTCGGACAGCATGGAGACCAGCATCTCTACCGGGGGCAACTCGGCCTGCTCCCCCGACAACATGTCCAGGTACCCGAGCCCCACCAGCTGGATGGCACCATCTCTGCCCTCCCCACACCAGAGCCACCGTCTCCACCAGATGCTCCTCCCCTTCCCTCCCCAGTGCCAGCGGCCTGGACATGGGGAAGATTGAGGAAATGGAGAAGATGCTGAAAGAAGCCCATGCGGAGAAGAGCCGGCTCATGGAGTCAAGGGTGAGGCAGATCCGGACTGCAGGGAGAAGGCATGGGGCCTGGGGCTGTCCTCCGCCTCTGCCTGCCAGGGGCCTCCGCCCCACCCAGGCCCCTTCGCCCACATTGTCCTCACAGCAGTCCCTTGAGGAAGAATGTTTTGAAAGCCTGTGTTCCTCAAGTGGGGGATAGGGCAGCCTGGTGAGATTACAAGCTTCACGGCTCTTTAAAAAAAAGGGGGAGGCAGCACAGTAACCTTTGTGTGACCATGAATTTCCTGTGTGGGAACTTCCAGTCTTTGTGTGTTTGCTTTTGTAGACGTTTGGCCACCACAGGAATTTTGATTCCTGTCTACCTGAGCGGCAGGTCATCACTCTTGGGGATGGTTAGGAACTGGGGGTTGAAAGATGGGGACAGAAGAGAAGGCAGCTGTCCAAGCCAGAGCAGAGGTGCTGGCTGGGGAAGCCAAGTCCCCTTCACGTGGGCCTGGGGCTGGGACACAGCAGAGAGGCCAGTGGTTTCTTATGGGCACAGCCAGGCTGGGGAAACCGTGCCTGGGGAGGAGGTTAGATAAAGAATCTGCAGAAGCTGTCCTGTCTGTACCGTCCAGGCACATTGCATTTGTGGAGAAGAGAAGGGAACCCGGGAGCCGGGGTCAGTAGCCAGAACAACCAGAAAAGAAGGCCTCTTAGTCTTGCTCACTTCAAAGGAGGGTAAATTTACAAACATCTCCTGGCACATGGAAAACAAGGAGATTCTGCTAAGTTCTGAGCTGGGAAGCAATGGCAGATGGGAGTTGTTACAGCTGATTAAGACACATAAAACATCACCAGCATGCTCTGTATTTAATGATTTGTTTTAATGACTTAAAAATCTTTTCATAATGCCTTTCATAAGTTCATTTTTTTCCCATAACATTTGAAGTTCAACTATAAATGTTTCTCATTTGGAGTTTCAAAGGGCCTTCCCAGTGATTAGGGAAGGACTGCTGGATATATTTGATGTAAAAAAAAGTTGTTTAGATAATCCATGTCCTAGGAATTCAGATAAAAATTCTAAAAGCCCCATTTATTTATTGCGTGCTTCCTTCCTGCTAGAGTCGGTGACGGGTGTTTACTTACATGATCTCATTTAATGTTCACTGCATTCTCAGGGGTAGCATTTTGCCCCATTTCGCAGATGTGGCAACTAAGGCTTAGAGAGTTTAAGTGATTTTGTCAGGATCCAGAGCTCATAGTGGTGGCAGAGCCAGGACTGGAAGCCACGATGGTCTCACTTTGAAGCATTTGCCCTTGTCAGCAAGGTACTTGGAGAGGAGGAGCTTTGAGGATGGTGGCCCCTCCTGCCAGGCTGCCCTCTGAGATGGGGGCCTCTTGCGGCTCTGCCTGGCCTGAGGCGGGGTGGCGGGCCTGGGTGCGGAGAGGGCAGCCATGGGCACTGAACCCGGCTTTGGGGACAGGAGCGGGAGATGGAGCTGAGGCGCCAGGCCCTGGAGGAGGAGCGGAGGAGGCGGGAGCAGGTGGAGCGGAGGCTGCAGAGCGAGAGTGCCCGGAGACAGCAGCTGGTGGAGAAGGAGGTCAAGATGCGGGAGAAACAGTTCTCCCAGGTGAGTGATGGTGGGCTTAAGGGTGGGGCTGTGCAGGGACAGCGATACCCCAGGGCAGCCCTGCTGGCCTCTAGAGTCCGTTCTTTCCAGAAAGGATTGCTATGGGCTCAGCACAGGCTGGAATCTCTGTGGGACCCGTTTGGCCCCAAGAAACAGACCCACTGGAGTTGTTCAAGCCAGTCTGTGTGTGTATTGGGAGTGGGGGAGCATGTGGCTTGTGGGGAAGTGGCAGGCCACCTTGTAGACACTGGGGTCAGAGAAGAGGGTCTGGACAGGCCTTCCAGATGTGGGAGCTGAGTCAAGAATCAGGGTGGCTCCCCTTGGCCCTCCTCAAGGGCCTCACTTCTGCCTCCCGAGTCTGTCCCACACGTCCTTCCCCCTTCCCTGATGCCCTCCTGTGCCTGGTGCTTCGTGGCTGCTCTGGTCCTCACTCCACCGGACCTTTCGGCTCCAGGCCCTACCGCCAGCAGCTGACCTCACTCTGACTTACGGTTTCCATCTCCAAGAGAGAATTGTACTAGTTTCTTCTTGAGACAGGTATCCGTCCTTGTACAAAAACCAACCCTGGACTTTTTCCTTACACGGGAGACCTGAGCTGAACAGTTGAAGATAGAAGGAGAAATCAGGGTAGGCAGGGAAATCCCCTGTCTCTGGGCCCAGACCCCGGGCCCCTGGGAGAGCCTGTGAGACCCAGACAGGCTATTCCCGTCCCATGGGGTCTCTGTAAGTCTCCCTGGGGTGAGGGTCCTGCCCAGCAGTGACTGGCACTCAAAGCTCCTTAATTTCCTAATGATACAGTGACATACATTTTAAGGGGTAAGTTACCTAGGTTGGTTTGGGAGTTTAGAAATAATCAGAAACTTAGTGAGTTTTACCTGTGATTGAAATCTTTGTCCGATGGCTAGTTCCCCTTCCCTGTCTCTGTTAGTGGTCACTTTGGGACTCTTTCCTCTCACCCTCTACCCTGGGGCCACCAGCTTTGGGGAGATGAGTCGAGTCAGTTCATTTCCAGGGCACCTCTGAGATGCTGAGCTTTTTTTTTTAAACTTTTTTTTATTTATTACATTTTGTTTTTTCTTTAAATAATTTGTGATGTTTCTTTTTCATGTCATTCTAATGTTCTTCCTAGAAAGGAAGAGTAGAAAAAAATTCCAGTTGACAGAATTCTAGTTGTTAGAAATTTTGAGATGAAATAGACCTTAGTGATTCTTTAGTTCAAAGCCCTTGTTTACATATAAGGAGACTGAGGCCCAGAGAGGGGTTGTGACCCAAGCGTGGCCCCACGGGAAGTCAGAGATCAGGTTTCCCGGACTTTTCCTCCGAGAACATGTTTATGTCTAGTCTTTCACTTTATTCCATTCAGCCCAGGAGGGAGAGGAGGGGCAGGGACAAGCCAAGGACGACTGTGTCTGGGTCACAGGTGGAGAAACTAAGGCGTGGGGAGCCATTCAACAGTTTGCACAGACCTAGGTGGAGTGAGCACAGGGTGCCAGGTCCCTGCTTTTGCCAAAGCCTCGTGACACCAGAGTGTTAGCACGGGGGTGGGGAGGGGGTGATGGCAGGCTGGCGAGGATTCAGGATGGAAGCCAGGGGGCCTGGACAAGGGAACAGTGGGGGAAGAGAGGAACCTCTACTGACCCTGCCCTCTGCTCCCAGGCACGACCCCTGACCCGCTACCTGCCAATCCGAAAGGAAGACTTTGACCTGAAGACCCACATCGAGTCGTCAGGCCATGGTGTGGACACCTGCCTGCACGTGGTGCTCAGCAGCAAGGTACAGGCACTCATGGCGCTGGGGTGAGGGCAGTGGGGACCCCGTGGTCAGAGGCACCTCCTGGGTCCTTGGAATAGTGGCCTCAGTTAGACCATAGGTCTCTGTCCCAGGACCAGGGACGGAAGGTTTAGGGGCCACGCATTCAGGCCCTTCCTTAACTCCTGGTTCCCACCAGGTCTGCCGTGGCTACTTGGTCAAGATGGGCGGCAAGATTAAATCATGGAAGAAACGCTGGTTTGTCTTCGATCGTCTCAAACGTACCCTTTCCTATTATGTGGGTGAGTTCCCTCAAGACTGCCCCAGAGCCGGGGCCCCTAGGCCCTGTCACCCAGGATGGCGGGTCTTCCAGAAGGAGGCTAAGCTGCCAAGTGGAGGCCAGGGGCTGCAGTGGGGGCTTGTCCTCCCCTCCCTGAAAATGTACAGAGTGTACTTGATTTATCTCCACTTGTTTGTCCATTCATTCATTTATTGAGCAGCATTACTGAGCATCTAATAAGTTCCAGGCACTATTTTAGGCTTTGGTGATAAGCAGGGTGGCCTCAGTTCTCTCCCTTGGAGTCACTGAATGAAGAATGATGGGTTTGCTTTAGGGGACACCCAGACGCTGTGGGTGCATGGAGTCCTATGGAGCCCCCCCACGGGCAAATTCCCGCAGACTCTGAGACAAGTAGTTGGGCAGTGCCAAGAGGTGCTCAGGACAGCTCTGGGGACAGGCCCACTGGCCTGGCCTGCTCCCTCAGCTCTCTCCACTCTCACCAGCTTAGGTTCCCATCCCTGGAATTCCCTCTGGATGTTCCTACTTAGAGCGTGGGATGCTGTGTCATATCCTGGTCAGGACAGGCTAGGCTGCGCCGCAGAAACAGCTCGTCCTAAGATCCCAGTGGCTCAGAACCAAAGTTTTCCTTCTTATTCCTGATGTACGGCATCACGGAGTTGTGGGCTGGTGGGGGCTTTGCTCTGCGTCTGTGTTCTCTTTGCTTCGGAGCGTGCCTTTCTAGAACGTTGCTGGCTGGAGTGGCAGAGGGTAAAGAGAAGCCTGACTGGGTTTGCATTGGTGTTAAATGCCCCAACTGGGATCTGTCCTCAAGTCAGCAGTGGGGCTGTTCAGCCAGTGCCCCAGCCCCAGCCCCAGCCAGCCACAAAGCCAAGAAGAGCTCGGGGCCCGGAAGGAAAGGGCCGGGGTGTCTGATGCTAGAGACATAAAGGCTTGGACCCCCCCGCTGCTTCTCCCCTAACCTGGTCCCCAGTCAAGTGCCATTTCTTCCAAGAAGCCCTCCCTGACCACCTGGGCCCTGGGTGTGGGGAGGCAGAGGCACACATGGCCCCAGGTTTCCACGTTGGCTTGAAAGGGACTTTGTCAGGATTGAGAGGCACAGGCCTGGGGAGAAGAGCTCCACTTTAGGCCCGTCAAGGTCAAAGTGCCCCAGGACATTGAGGTTTAGGAGAAAGGTCAGGGTTAGAGGCAGAGGGAGAGCTGAATCTGTTGGAATAATAATAATAATAGCAGATCATACTCACTGAACACTTGTTGAGTCAGGTGCCATGCAAACACTCTACAGGTGTCATCTCTTTTAATCTTCACATTAAGCTTTGGAGGGAAGCACTGTTTTTAACACCCATTTTGCAGATGAGGAAAATGAGGCTCAGAGAGGTTAAGTAGCTTGCCCAAGGACTCACAGCGGCTAAGAGGCAGAGCTAAGACTGAACTTGCAGAGCGGAGCAGAGGGAGAGAGAGCTGCACCCTTGGGCAGGCCCACCCTGTGGGGAAGGAGGAAGAGGAGGCACCAGCAGAGGGAGAGAGACAGGAGGCAGGAAGCCACATGCCAGATGCTGGGCTGGCGCTTGGCTTATGTGACCTTCCTTAATGCCCATGAAACAAAAGGAGGCCAAGTCAGACAGGGGAGGGGGAGGGCGGAGCAGAAACGGGGAGGGAAACCAGCCAGAGGAGCAGACATGTGCAAGCAAAGGGTGTCACCAGTGATGGTGGATGCCACAGAAAGGCCAAGAGGAATGTGGACCCAAAGACCATTCGATTCAGAGATTGACAAGAGAATGGGGCAGGAGCCAGGCGCACAGGATCGAGGATAGGTGGGTGGTCAGGAAGTGGAGGCAGGAATGTGTTACTACTTCCAGTGAAGGAAGACACGGAAGAGAACAGAGGCTGGAGGGATGGCCGGGATGGGGCTGGGTCCTTGTCCCGAGGAGGTAGTGTCGGATGGAGATGGGGCTGTGGCTGGATCAGGGCCCTGGGTGTGCCTCGCCTGCTCCTTGAATCTGCCGTACTCCCTGCCCTTGCCTGGACCCTCCTCCCAGCTGCCTGATGGAACCCCTCTGTTTTACAGGGTCCAGATCAGAAACTCTCTCTGTGAAGCCTTTTCTGGCCCCACCTTACTGGGGATGATTCCTGTCCTCTGCTGTGTAACTCCTGAGTTATACAGGGTCCGTCTGCCATGTGACATCAGCCCTGGCATATAATGACGTCATGACAGATGCCACATGTATTGTGCCAGACCCTGTGCTGAGCACTTCAAGTGTGTTCTCTAATTTAATGCTCACAACAGCCCGTGACGCCTCACTGCAGCCAAGGTCACACAGCTGACCAGTGGCTGTGTCTCTGTTTTCTTCTCCACTAGGTTGTGGGTTCCTAAGAGAAGGATCTCTGACTTTTCTTTGGATCACAGTGCCTCAGACTCATTTATTCAACGCTGACTGAGCACCTACTGTGTGCTGGGTACATAGTAGTTGGTGTTGGAGGAGCTATGAACAGACAAAGCAGGATTCAGATTCAACAGGATAAGTTCTGTGCAGAGGAACAGCCATGCTGTGGGAGCACGGGAGAGCACAACTGTGCACCATAATGGTGACACTTGTAGGGGCTCTTGAAGGTGACTGAGGAGTTTGCCAAGGGAATGGGCTGGAGAACATCCCAGTGTCTGCAGAGTGTCCAGTTAAGGGACCGTAAGAAGTTCAGCCTGGCCCCGAAAGAACATGGGGTGGTGCAGGGGAGGGATGTGAGACTCGGCCAGAGGGACGGGTTGGCACTGGCCCGTCAAATACCCTTTGCCAAGCCAAGGAGGCAGCGGATTCCATTGAGGGAAGCCACAGAGATGCCCGTGAGCTGAGGCAGCAGGATTCGATTGGCTTTAGGACACTCAGCCCCTCGGCGTCAGGGAAAATGAGTTAAGGGGCAGAGGGTGGGGCGGGGCACATTAGGAGGCTGTAGCAATGACCCAGGACCCCGGGTCAGGGGTTGGGGGTAGGGGAAAGGCACCACTGCTGCCTTCTCACCTTCTCCATCTGAGTTTAGTGGTCGTGCCGCCTTCCCTGTGGGACTTGGGCTCGCTGTCCGGGATGTGAGTTGTGGTCCTTGCTGCGCAGAGCAGTGTCTGCCACCTAGGGGGGCCCAGGCCCTCCCACTGGAGCGGCCATCTGCTGTGTCAGTGTGCCCACCTCCTCCCTGCCACCCCTGCCTCCAGATGCTTTATGCTGCCTTCCAGTTTTACTATTGGAGTTGAATAGATAAATGCACTCCTGTAGTGTAAAACACAAAACACATAAAAAGATTTAAATTGAAAATTACTCCCCTCACTACAGGTAACCACTCTGATTAATCTTGTGTATTCTTCCAGAGTTTCTTTAGGGAATTATAAACAAATGCAGACATAGATTCTTGCCCCTTATCTTACACAAAAGGCAGCACACAGTACCTTCTTGTCTACCTACTAATGTATCTCAGAGACCTTTCTGCATCTAGATAATTATATCTGGATGTATTTTATAGATTTATTTCTGAATCTATATCTGTATCAGACTTTTTTTTTTTAAGTGGAGTTCTCCTTTATTGTCTTTTTTGGGGTGGGAAGGAGGTAATTGGGGTTTTTATTTATTTTACTGGAGGTACTGGGGATTGAACCCAGGACTTTGTGCATGCTAAGCATGTGCTCTACCACTGAGCTATACCCTCTCCCCTGTTCCAGATGTTTCTCTATCATTCTCTTTAACAGCTGTATTTATTCCATCGTGTGGTACACTGATTTCCTTAGCAGTCTCCACTTGATGGATACTTGGGTTTTTTCCAACCTTCTGTGACTACAAATAACTGCTGTGGTGAATAATCTTGTAAACTTGTTACTTTGTACATGTATAAGATAAATTTTCATCAGTGTAGAACGTGCCTCACAGGGCAAACACCTTTCTCACTGTGGTAGGGACAGCCAAATCATTCATAAGGGCTGACCAATTTCTACTCTCACGTGTCAAATTTATCAGACTGCCTGTTTTTCCATAGACTTGCCCAAACTGTGCTGTGTATGTTTGGTGTATTTTTGCCCTTCTGATAGGTGGGAAGTTGTATCTCGGTGGAGCTCTAACTTGCATCCTCTGTAAATCTAAGTGAGGCTGAGCACTGACTGTGTCTTCAGGGCTCCACGCTGGACTCTGATTTGGAGTCCCGGGAATCACCCCGTTTCCTGGACGGGAAAGCTCTGTGTCCACAGAGCTTGACCTGGAGTCTGGCAGGCCTCCTCAGCCCAGCCCTTGTTCCTCCGCAGACAAGCATGAGACGAAGCTGAAGGGGGTCATCTACTTCCAGGCCATCGAGGAAGTGTACTATGACCACCTGCGCAGTGCGGCCAAGGTGAGGGGGGCAGGGGGGCAGCCGGAGCATGTGGGGGGAGGGGGGCCCAGAGGGGCTCTGGGCGCAAAGGCCTCTAGCCTGCCCTCTCTTCAGAGGCTCAGACCCGTTTCTTGTTCTCTTTGTGAACTTTCTCCCCCTCTCTCCCTCCCTAATCAGAAGAGGTTTTTCAGCTTCACTATGGTGACTGAGGTACCCCTCCCCCATACCTATAACCAGAACTACAGCATATTAACCCCTCCTGTACCCTGTCGCCCCTGACCCTTGACTCTCCCCTAAGTCCCCTCCCTTCCCCCAGGCCTGAGGGAGGAGCAAAGGTGGGTTGCAGAGAGGAGGAAGCCCCTGTGGGCTCAAGTAGGCTTGTCTGCCTCGCTCTCCTGAGATGGCGTCCTGTGTGGGGCGGGCAGTGCAGAAGGGGCGGCTAAGAGGGGAGCATGGGGCCTCAGACATTAGATTTGGGAGAGAGGAAGGACGAGCAGGACATATTGGAGGCTGGCGCCATCTGCCTTAATGCAAATGCATAGCTCAGCCTCCCTCCCACCAGCCTCAGATGCCTGCTGATCCCTGCTCCCCTGGGGTCCTGGGGCCAGCGTCCCACTTGAAGCTTTTTCCATCTGTTTCTTTTTTGCTGAGAAGAGACTGTGGTCCTCACTGAAACAGCCCTTTATGTCTGATTGTTTTGATATTCCCTTTGGGGCCAAGGAACAGCGCCCCCACCTGGCAGGGTATGGCCCTGTCAAGGTCCAAGGACTGCCCAGGTGTGAGGAGGGGAACATCTTAGGGGGCCCACCTCACTGGTGGGGCCTGGGCTCCAGGCCTATTTAGGACTCAGCCCTGAGCTCTGGGTCATCCTAGTTAGAAAGGGCAGACGGCAAGACAGGTGTGAGGGGTGTCCCTGGGTGTCGGGGGTGGGCCCGGCTGAGACCTTTCTCTCTCCCTGGACAGAGCCCGAACCCGGCCCTCACCTTCTGTGTGAAGACCCATGACCGGCTGTACTACATGGTGGCCCCATCTGCAGAGGCCATGCGCATCTGGATGGACGTCATTGTCACCGGGGCTGAGGGCTACACTCAGTTCATGAACTGACCGGAATGGGCCTCCTGGACCCTTGGGCCAGCCGCAGGACCCATGCCCAACTGTCTGCTGCTCTGCTCGCCCCTAGAGACAGGTCACACCCTGGGCCCCAGGCCTCACAGAAGTGCTCCCAGATGCCCTGGAGGGCGGAGCGTGACTGGGGCTTTTGTACAAGAAGACTCTGTAATGTTCTATAAGGAGCTCGTCCTGTGAGGCTCTGGGCCCCGGCCCCCTAAAGAACCAGCCAGGAGACAAAAGCTGGGGAGGGGACTTTGCTGCCTCCTGGGGGCCCAGAACTTGCAATAACCCTCAGGGTCCTGCCTGGGGCCCAGCCAGGCTGAGGAGCTGTCACAGAGGGGCCCCTCCACTCTGACCTGGCACCTGCACTCCCCAGCTTGTGTTCTCTTTTGTAAAGGACAAATTATGGTACCAGAATCTGCCAAAGATCCCCTCTTGCCTCAGCCCCCTTTGCAAGGGCCTTGGGGGCTGAGCAGAGCCACATCCAGAGTGGGGTAACAGCTCAGGCGGTGTACTTCTCAAACCCCGCTCTTTCCCACTGTTGTCCTGTGTTTATATTTTTTTTTATTACTTTACTCAAGGGCCAGAGACCTCAGATATCATCCTTGAGGTCCCCAAGCCCTATCCCCTTTACACAGACCCATCACCATGGTCACCATAGTGACTGCTTCATCGCCATGGTTACACACTTATTGCTGTGGCTCCGTGGCTCAGCCCACAGCTTCAGCTGTGGCCCACCTGAGGGTACGTGCCATCATTTCTCCAGCCCAGGCCCTTGGGCATCTCCTGCTGGGGGGAAGGACTGAACACCTCCCTGCCCCCGCCTGTGTCTCCAGGCCCTGATACACAGCCTGCGGCCCCCCAGTCTAGCCCTCTCCCCTCCACTCGTGCCTTGCTTTAGAGCCAGAAGGGACGAAGCCTGGAACTGGAGACCAGAGGAGGAGCCATTGGATGGGAGAGGTAGCGAGAAGGGCCATCCCTGGGGTTCTGTACAGGGCTGAGTTTCGGACGGACAGAGGACTGTTCAGATGCTCCCTGAAGGAAGTCCTGAGCAGGAGAGGAAGTAGCAGGGGGAGCCCCTGAGGTCCAGTCGCCCTCCCTGCAGCTTCGGAAGGTGATGAAAATGGAGGGCAGAGGACCAGGCCTCCAGCTGTCTGGGCTCAGCCCTTCACGCCTTAACACTAAGCCCACCTCCCTGTCCCCTTCCCAGCTCTGGGCCATGGTTGCTGGACCTGGGCTGGGTGATTTTCAGTATTTGTAAGCATCTCAGCAGAACAATAAAGCATTTGGACTATGTGTTGTGGGGGCGCTTGAGGGCTGGGGTATGTCGGGTAGGAAGCTAGGTCATCCCCTCAAGGCAGTATTTCCACCTTACTAAATGTTCCAGGAGAGACTCAGGGCCCAACCATGACCTGCAGGTCCCTATCCTGCCCCGACTCTGCTATGACTGAGAACTGGGCGGGGGGTGGGTGCAGGTGGTTGTCTTCAGGGATTAAAGATCAAGAGGCAGGAGAAGGTAGGGACTCATACAGAGGTTTAATTGGCAGCAGCTGTCATTGTGGCAGGAGGCTAAGCAGAAGGGCAACTGTGAGGCAGTGGGGCTCCAGGAAAGCTGTCTGGGTCCCTGAGCTCAGCTGGTCACCACATCAGTCCAAGAGCATCAGGACCGCTCCATTGATCCAGCCAAACCCCTCTTGGAGAGAGGCTAGGTCAGTGGGGCAAGATTTCTGGGGAAGGCCACTGCGTCCTTTGATGGGGGTGTGGGATTTCCGCCCAGAGGCTCTGGGGGATATCAGGAAGCACCAGTTAGGCTCCTTCCTGGAAGCCACATCCATGGAAGAACCTGAGATCCAGAGAGGGGAGGTGATGGTCAGTTGTGGGGACAGCAGAGCCCCATAGTTCCCTGAAAGATGTGGCCCCCTCACCTGGACTTCATATTCCCCTCCACCACCTGGCTGTCCACTGTTGCTGATGTCATACTGGGGACAAGAGGACAGGCTCTAAGGCCAGGCCTTACCCCAGCTCCTCCCACTTCCCCCCAACCCCAGGCCTCTAGGGAAGCAAGAAATGAGAGCCCTTTAGGGAGAAGCTGCTCTGGACAGCATCTCTGTCCCCTGCAGTGCCCAAGAATGGCCACCAGGCGCCGCCACAGTCTCTGGCTGTGCTGGGCCTGGGCTTTGCAAAGCCTGACAATTCCCCCATCTCACCATGGGGGGCAGAACCCAGAGGGACCGGGCTCAGGGCCAGCTCACCTTCTCATACATGGCTGCCTTTTTGGAGTAGACATCAAAGTTGGTTCGGATCCAATTCTGGCCACTTCCTGGGCTCTGGGTGAAGGAGATTGCCAGACCTAGACCCTACCCTAGGCAGGACTCTGAATCTCCAGAGCCTCCATACCAGAAGGAGCAGAGGCCTGAGCCTTCATCTTCTCAAGGAAGGAAAGAGGCCCAGGCCCTAAGATCTCCTTCCTGGAACCTGGGGTCAACCTGCTCTTAATCAGGGCCTGGGTTTGGAGGGAGAGAGGAGGGCTGATTCCCCTGACAGGTGTAAATGTTTGCTCAGTGGGAGGCTGAGAGAGCCGAGGAGCCAGAGAAAGGCCTCTGTATCCTTCATTCAAACCTCTCCAGTACCAAGGAGGCTGACCCTCTACTCTTGTGGGGCCGAGACCCTGGGATGTGCCCCATCCCTGCCTCTCTATCTCTAATGATCAGGTCCTGCAGGGGGCCCCAGGTGGTGGGGGAGTCCCATTGCTGGCCTGTCTTCCAGGCAGAGGTTGGGGTTCCATACTGGTAGGTCAGGATCTGGCTGTCCTAGAAGGTTCCAGGCATTACTCTGACTGTCGGTGGGCTCTGGACAGGGAGCCAAGAGGCTGGGCCCTCCTAAAGCCATTTCCTGGGCCTTTTCATCTTGGCCCATGGCTGCCCCCTTGTGGCTGCAGTGGGACCTGCAGGCTGAGACACTGGGTGGAGCAGTGGGGAGTGTCTGTCACTTGCCAGAGGTCATCGCTCAGAGTCAGGGAGAGAGCGGCTAGTCCTGCCCCCAGTGTAGCAGCCTGCCCTGCTACCCCCCACACTTCCAGGTATTTCAGAGCCTTGTCCACATCGCTGGGGTCAGAGAAGCAGCCAGCTCAGAGAGGAGTGTGGTAAATGATTAAAACTCCCTGGTCTTTTTCTGCTCAAGGTCCTACGTGAATAGCTACCTTTCTCCTCATCCCCAGGACAGCTTTCAGGGTGGCCTAGGGCAGTTTCTGCAAATTTCAGTAACTCATAGTCTAGGGTGGCACTGGGTTTAGAGGGAGTGACCAGAGCCCCTACTCTTGGACCATACAGAAGCTCTCTAGAAAGAATTTCTGAGGGGGAGAAGGGGAACATATACTTAAAACCCCCTCCCCGCCCAAGCCCTCCCCAGCCTCCCCGAGGCAAACCTAGCCTGTCCTCCACCCCCAGGTTGTCCAGTCCTGCCCTTTACACCACACAGTGACTGTTCACTCCCCTTCTGGGCTCCCTCTTCCCTGAGCTCCTCGGGCCAGGACTCTACCCAGGAATGATCATTGCTACTGCTGACTATAGCCCAGCCCTGTGCTCAGCACAGTCTGTTAGGCACCTTCTCTCCTTTGTCTGAGGCTCAGAGAGGGCATGGATTCGCCCAAGGCTGCACAGCACCTGTCCTCTAGCCTGGCCTCCAGGGCCTTGACACTCGCTGGCACAGAGCGGTGCTCTGGGCTCCTGGGCTAGTTTGGGCTGCTTCCTCATCCAGCCCAGGGGGATGACACCCAAGGCCCTCCCACCAGTCCCTTCCAAATAACTGACAGGCTGACCTCTGTCCCATTAAAACTGCCTCACTTGTGGGAGGGTGAATAGAGAAAATCCCCGATGTGGACACAGTGCATCTCGCTCTGGTCCTACCGTGCTCTCCCTCGGCCACGTTCATCCACGTCCGCCTGACTGGGGAAAAGGCATGCGGGTTTTATCCACACCTGTGCCAGAGAATGGGGGCTCTGATCCTCTGGGCCTGGCTCGTGGTGGCGGCAGAGATTCAGGGGCAAGGAGGCCACAGGAAATGGTCCCCCAAATGGTCCTAATGATGGCCGTGCTTGGTGAGCGCTTGGGGTGCCAGGCTGAGAGGTCGAGGCTCCTGCACACTGTCATGCTCCTGCTGGGACTCCAGAGGCTGGCTTGTGGGGACAAGCAGACCAGGCTCCCCACAGCCCAGGCCTTGACCGAGGCCACACAGCTCAGCAGCCCAGAGCTAGAACTCAGTCCCGGCTGCCTGGCTCCAAAGCCCGCATTTGCCAGGGCCTCCACCGCCCCAGCCTCCTCTAGCCTCCACTTCCTGGGGTCCAAGGCTTCCTGTGCCCTCTCTCCTGACTCCAGGTGAAGCCAGAGGTCCTCAGCCACCCTGAGCGCTTCTCTCTGATCTACTCTCGACACCTCTTCATCGTACCTGGAGGGCACTTTGTCAAGTTCTACTGCAGGTGAGTGGCCAGGGGCTGTGGCGGGTGGGAGCCTGGGCCAGTGGGGCGCTCGGACACGGCCGGGACATGCAGGGCGGAGGCTGATGTCAGGGATGCCTGAGCTGTCCTGCCCCCAGAGACTCCTACTGGGAGATGGAGGGTCTGCTCCTCTCTGAGATGCCTGGGACGGTGAAGGGCGTGCGCAGAACTTCCGGGACCTGGTGCAGATGTAAGAGGGGCCAGGGTGGAGAAGCTGGGGTGGGGGTGGGGGCGGGGGCGGGGGCGGGATTTGCTTTGGCTCTGGTGGCCAGGCAGAGGCACGTCAGCAGGTACGGGTGTGTCCCCAGCGGGGCTCGTATGTACCACCTGCAGTGGAGCCAGCCCCAGGTCCTGACCCTCATGATGGACCGCCACGTGACTCACACCAATGACACTGCCTTCCTCCGGTGGGCGCCCCTCCCCGCGCTGCCCTGCAGGCCCCTTCACCTGAGACCCCCAGGGTAAGACTAGGGAGGGGGCCCAGGCTGAGGTGGTACCTGCTCCACCCATGGCCAACACTGAGACCCTAGCCTTGGAGCTGGACTTTTGGACTAAGAACAGGAGTACCTCTGTGAGCTCCGGGGGAAAGAGCTATGACCTGAATCGCCGCTCTGTCCCTTATGGGGGACTTAGGTAAGGAAGTGCCCGGCCAGCCCCTCAGTTTCTTATCTGTTCGCTCTGGTTTGAGAGTCAGGACTCCCCTGGGTGGGATGGTGGGTGACTTAGCCCCACCCCTCAGATGCTGATACTGAGGGTGTGGAGGCCTGTGGCTCCCAGGGAATGGGTGCCCATCTGTGCTCTGGGGGCTGTGTCCTGTCCGTTAGGGTGCCCTGTGGTGCATTCTCTCCCTTCTGCCTTCCAGGCCCTGCTCTGGGCCATCCCAGGGGCAGGAGAGACCCCAGAGGACAAAGGGAGCAGGTAGAACACTGCTGAGATTAGGGGCCAGGGCTGCAGTGAGGGCAGATGAGGGACAGCTCTGTTCTGGCAGGAGGAGAGGAGGAGTCGGCATGGGGAGGACAGCAACTTAGCCTCCAGCCTGGGCACCACAGCGCTGCCCTTTAGTCCCCGAGCTGGGCCAACTCCTGGGCCGGGGCCTGGAGCAAGACGAAGCCGCCTCAAGCCTCCACCCCCACACTCTGCTCAAACCACAGCCACCTGTAGATCAAAAACACTTCTTTTTTTAAAAATCCTCAGTTGCCTGAAAGATGTACATGTTTGGGGCTGGGGCTGAGTCCTGAGGGCTGACTGTGCACACTTGGTGGGGGGACTCCTGGGCGCCCGCTCTCCGACTTTGCACTTTTCTGCACATGACAGCAACTTTTGCAGAAAGGGCGTGGAGGGCGCATCTGGGCCAGGCAGCTGCCTGGGGCCGCCTCTGCCCACCCAGGATGCCCGACCTCTTGTTCTCACTTCAACCACCGTGGCTTCCTCCTGCTGTGGGAACAGGGCACCAGGTCAGGGGCTCCCCCAAGCCCAGGTGACTGGACACCTCCCTGCCAGGCCAGGAGTTCTGTGACCACAGCCCAGGATCAGCAAAATACAGGGGCTCCCAGGTGACCTCAACTCAAATCACTCACCATCTCTCCCACCCAGGCCTTATAATTAATGGCGTTAGCAATGTTTGTAAATCTCCATGAGAGAGAATGGATTTCAATCAGAACCGGGTTGCAGGAGACCCTGATTGAAGCCGTTGCAAGCTGTGGGCTCCCAGGCAGCTACCGGTGCAGGTTGTTTGTGTGTGAGTTGAAGGCTTTGTTCATCGTCAGGGCTGGCAAACTCAAACTCCAGGACCCAACTGGGGACA